GAGACGGAGTCTAGCTCTGTCGCCAGGTTGGAGTGCAGTGGCGCAAACTCGGCTCACTGCAACTTCCGCCTCCCGGGTTCAAGCGATTCTTCCGCCTCAGCCTCCTGAGTAGCTGGGACCACAGGCACGTGTCACCATGCCCGGCTATTTTTTGTATTTTTAGTAGAGACTGGGTTTCACCATGTTGGCCAGGATGGTCTCGAGATCCGCCCACCTCGGCCTCCCAAAGTGCTGGGATTACAGGCGTGAGCCACCGCGCCCGGCTGAGGCTTCTTATTTTATAGAATTGGGTGAGGGTTGAGGGTACCAACCACATTTCTTCAGATAAGGAACTTTCAAATACCTCTGATACAGATGACCAGCAGCAGTCCACTCGGTCAGCCATATCTGAGTAGGCTGGCGGTTTTGTGCGGGCGCACAGGAAAACCAACACGTTAATCTCCGCGAGCCAGACGCTCCAGTCTTGCAGTGCCCGGATGTCTCGCGAGAACTCTAAGTTCACGAAGGTGCAGAAAGTGACGTGGGGCTGTGGCATGAGGACGTGGCCAGACGCTGCAGCCTACGGAGCTGACGAGGTAATAGTGGGCTATAAGAGGAGCGCCTCAGTTAACCACCACCCCCAACAGTCCAGGACCTACTGCATTTTACTGCCATGTCCTATTAGACATTTTGAATAATACAGAGCAGTTGTTTTGCACCAGGTCCTTCTGTTTGGGGTTGTCTGATGTTTTCTCTTGAGTAGAATCAGGTTATGAATTTTTGGCAGGAGAACTTTACAAGTGAAGTTGTCCTTACCAGTGTATTGTATCAGGAGGCACACAACATCACTTTGGTATTGATTAATCATTTGGTTAAGGTGGTGTTCTCCACGTTTATCCACTGTAAAGGTACCTTTTCCCCATTTGCAACTAATAGGACCATTAATAAGGAGACATTTTGAGACTGAAAACCATAGCTTCTTTGGTTCCTGTTCTCCCTGTCTACTTCACAGTCACTTTTATTACAACATGTTAAGGGCCAACTGTTTTAGCTTCAACCCACCTTGCCCTTCTTTCTAAATATCCTCTCTCGGCAGGCGCGGTGGCTCATGCCTGTAATACCAGCACTTTGGGAGGCCGAGGTGGGTGGATCACGAGGTCAAGAAATCCAGACCACCTGGCCAACATAGTGAAACCCCGTCTCCACTAAAATACAAAAATTAGCTTGGCGTGGTGGTGCGCCCCTGTAGTCCCAGCTACTCGGGAGGCTGAGGCAGGAGAATTGCTTGAAGCCGGGAGGCGGAGGTTGCAGTGAGCCGAAATCGCATCACTGCACTCCAGCCTGGCGCCTGGCGACAGAGTGAG